TCACCACCCCTCGCCACCCTCTATCTGTCTTTCTTCCTGGCCCGTTCATTCTCCCATTCGTTTGTATTGGACGTAAACGATGCAATGGGTGGACATGGTCCAGCAAATCCGAAATCCCCTTTTCCTCGATATAAAGCTTTACCTCTTTTTTCGGCTTTGACCCTCCGTCGAGCGCGACTTCGCGCCAATACTTTTCTGCTGGGCAAACCGGCCGGCAGAAGTAGCGGGCCATCGGCGGGCGCACCGGCGATCGACTAGCGCGCCCGAAGGATCCGATGAACCCTTCGGGAATCGAATGCACCGTGATGGACAGCCGATGCTGTTTTTGCGTGTCAGCGGTTCGTCACTCGATACTTTACACGCAGAGCCACTTTTTTCGGGGCATGCGGCTGTGGGATTTAATGCGATAGCACGGAGTGTTCGGGTTTGTAACCGAATTTTCAAGTGCGGGGACCACGAGAGGAGAACTTTCTTGCTGAGTATTGTGGATTTCTTCTTGATGCTTCTCAGTTTTGCTTTGTTTTTAGGTATTATTTACACTTTGCGCTTTTAACGCTGGCTAGATTGCCTAGGCACATCATTTTCTCATTGAACTATGATACTGTCTTGTCATTAATAATTTAGTGGGAAAGAAAAAGATCTATGCATATTGTATGTCTATGTTTGCTCTAAAGTGTAATTATTGATAATAGAAGAATAATATTTCATTTGAATTTGAAAGGATTGAATGTTTGTCATTGTTAAAGTCATCACTACGAGTATGACACGTTGTTATAAAGCAAGGGGTTAATAAAGGCTCAAAGTTTATTAAGAGAAGTGTAAATAATTTACCGAACTCTCTTTGATGTGGTCTTTACGCCACTCCGAAATAAAGAAAATATATCTTGAAATTGTTTTACTATCGTATTGTCTAATTTTCTGGAGAGCAGAAGCTTAATACTCGATATACAATATGAACTACTTATTCCATAAGTATTTGACTACTTTCATTTTATTGGAGATAAGTCAAATATATTTCAAGTAATACTTTCAACGTAACTTTTGTCATTGCATTTATCTCGTACATTCATATAAAGTTAATATTCAATATAAATTCAAATAAAAAATAATATAAAGTGATTCAATGAATATTTATATCAATAGCAATAATAGAAGTTCATTGAAAATTGGCACGACGAAAGCGCTTAAGTATAACGGTTCCAAGTCATTCCAGCGTTTATTTAAAAGTACGCTTAATTATATAGATTTATTTGGATTTTGGGATAAAAATCGAAGTAATTGTGAATTTATCAACAAATTGCTTGGGATGAGATTTAGAAAAAATTTTTAAGTATTCATTTATATTACTCCGCATCAGTAACTTCGTTATCGTTCGACGAGGTGAATGTATAGATAAACGAAATATTTAATCTTTTTTATCTATTTGTAAGATTTTTAACTTGTTACAAAATTGAATACTTCTATATATGAATAATATAAACTGATGTTTATTCTACTTACGAATATTTACATTACAACGTGAATGTATCCTCTTGACCTGAATCCGCGAAGTAATCAAACATTAATGGATGGTAGTGTCTATCACTACAGACGAATGTCAGATCATTACTTCATATGAATGTGCGCACGCGGAGCACCGTTAATTGATAGTGAACTTTACGATATCTTTATTGCAGAGCAAGTGCTTAGAGATAAATAAAACCTGGTATAACAAGAAAAAGTATTTTCTCAAAATTTCGAATGCTTCGAAATATTTATGGTTAGAAGCATTTTATCATTTATAGTGCTTAGAAGTGCAACATTTTAATATAGTCGTTGAAATAAACATTTATTATTGAAAACAATTTATCGAGTCTACTTTACATGATTTAATACATGTATACTTTGTATGTTTATATCTACGTATATTGTTTATTTACACACTGACTGATGAAAAAAAAGTAATACATATTATTTTTTTAACTACAAGATAACAGTCTTAACACTTAGACAGCCGCCTAAAAAGAACTATGAGTGTAACCTTTTCCATTAACTTCATTTACTTATCGAATTTCAAATATCCCCAATTCAGAACGTACTAAATAAAAAACGAAACAAATGAACAAAACAAATGACAACACATTGCTAAGAGAAAAGTGGGAGGTCTCTCAATTCGGTTGGCTAAGTGTTAAGATAGAACGGCAAAGGAACCTATAAATATTATAAAGCTAAACTGGCCAGTAGCACAATCTCGATCATGAATATCATCAATAGCTATTGAAAAAGTTTGCATTTACAAATCCACATTCACAAAAACAGTTTGTACTAGACATTACAATGACATATTATGGATATCATGTTTTTCAGGAGATATCAGAGTGTTACGTGTAATACTGTCTATTTCGTATTTTACGTCCTACAGTTGACCATTGGATAAAATATTATTCCTGTTAATATTTCACGTGTGCGTTTATCCCTTTACTGTACATCCCGAAATGAATTTAGATAATGGCGGGTCAAGGTAATCGATAGGGATGGCGAATATTCCGCAAGGAAGTGACAATATTATTCTGTTTCAGGGTGTGACGGGCGACCGGCTGGCCGGGGACGCCGCACACCTCCTCCATCTCTTCTTCTTCTTGCCACGACCACAACACACAATGTAACAACAACTACCACTACTAGAGTCGTCCGCGCGAACCACGTTCTCAATGTACTCGATGTGGTACGTCACCATACCCCTACTCGGTGTCTATGAAGATATGTCATCCTTATTAAGTTTTAACGTGTTTCACTTTTACGTTATCGTGTCTCACAGTTAGTGCTCCTCAATGTTTTAATCAGAAACTCGTATGATGGCCCGCAGCGATGATACCAGTCCTTACTGTTGTCGAGCGCACGTTGAGCGAAGAGTGCACTGCGAACATTAAACCTCGAACATTAAATTAGCCGGCAAGTATTATTAAAACAATCCCCGGTGTTTTTACGTCGTCGAATCACTACGCGCCACAAATATAATTACCGTGTAGCATGCGCTATCTGATACTAATCGGCGAGCGCGCAAGTAAATTTTCGTTTCACCGTGTATTCATTCCCCTTAATTAAATCGCGCCATCAAATTTCACTCCGGTCTACAAATCACTCGTTGATTAAGTCCGTACATTAACCTAATTTCATAGACTATTATAACGATGAATAAACTATCCTGCGGAAAGAACTTTATCGTGCGCATTTGAATCATTTAAATGCTATTGAGAAAATACTGAAATGAATAGAATGTTTGTAAATGAAAATAATAAATCTCTTCTGGAGGCAGTGGCATTCTTCGCACACACGTACGTATTTACAAGTCATTCAACATTGCGCATACGTTGTGTATTCTATGTCTGTATATAATATATGTAATACTGTGAACGCGTATATTATATATCGTATATAGAATATATTATGGATATGTTGGATTATGTCTTCACTGTTCGCTGAGTTCCGTTACAATGTGACTTGTGGTTGGTTTAGTTTCGTTGGTTTATCGATGTTCGATGTTGGCTGCTATTGTTGGTTGTTAGGTGTTTAGTGGTCACTCTGTGTTGGTGCTCACCCTATCGACTCTTCCT